TGTTAATCGATGATCTAGTGCAAATAACACTCCTAAATGTTTACTCAAGCCAGTGACCAACTAGTTACTTGCATAAAACATTTTTTGGTGATTTTATTAAATGAGAGAAACTTGAAAAACATTTTTATATGAGTAAGAGTTGTCTTAGTATCTTGGAAGATACTCTTATAATTTTACAATACACTGATCACTCAGACACAAGACTAAGCGAGCTTTCACACTTTCTTTCTTTCACAGCCTTGAAGCTTCAAGACCCTTTACCAGATTCAACATTAATTCAACACTTCATATGAGACTTGACTTATTCTATTTAATGAGGCTTTATATAGCTTATTTGACAGACAAACATCATCATCATAACTTTCTTGATTAGAGATCCTTAAGGACTCCACTGAATGTTGTTTGACATTAGGTGTTGTCAACATCAAAACCACCAAAGATCCTCTTGTAGATAATTGTAACTACAAGGACATAACTCCCAAAGGATAATTTCATCCACCAAATCTTGTTCATTGTTAAAGAGTGGTATCCTCCAAAGAAAATTTTAGACCATAACCTCATCTTCCCAAGTACCAATATCACCCACCTTACTCATTTTTTCCTCAGAGGTCAGGAGAAGCATATAAAAAGTAACTCTAAGAGGGGTGGGCTCCTCCTAAGGGTCCTACAAAAAATATGAGAGCATACTTGATCCCACCTTTCGCCTTAAACCATCCATAAACCAATTTGAGGTGTCAATATATTTAGAATATAAGAGGGAGACTCCTCTCCACCAAGGAGAAATGGATTGAAGTCTTGTCACCCTACTTTATTTGAAGGATGTGATACCCTGATTCCCATATCTAGTAATCAAAATGTTTCTCCAAAGACCGGATTCATAAATCAAACACCACATCTATTTTCCAATTTAGATCTAGACTTTCTAAGCAAGGATCACGAACTACAATCCCATGCGTTCTTCTTGGGTGTACACGTATCTTCCCAACTAACTTAGGGAATATTATCCTTACCCCTAACTCTATCCCACAGGAAACTCTTATGAAGTATAGTAAATCCTAAGGAAAGATAGAAAGAAGATAATAATAGTATTCAAAATAAAATTTAGGAAGGTCACCCTACCTCATAGGCTAACGAACCTATACTTCAAAGATAGCATACGACTAAACAAGATGGAGATAAGAGGTTCGAAACTTTCCTTTAATCGGGTATTATCCCCACCAAAAGACCAAGGTACTTGAAATGGAGGTTATGGTGGTAGCAATACAGGAAATCACTAGTTGACTCCAAAAAATTAGATTCCACATTAATATCATTAAGTAAACATTTGGAGAAATTGACCTGAAGGCCTGAAGCTGGCTCAAAACCTCTAAGGATAGCTTTAGTAATCTAAAGATTCTCCATTATTGCACTAGAAATCGTTAGTGTCATCAACATACTGAATATAGGAAATAATAAGATCAGAGGAGCCAATCCTAAATCTAGACAAATGATTGAGACCCAAACCTTCATGAGAAGACCATTAAGCCTTTCCACAATCAAAAGGAAAATAAATAGAGCAAAAGTGTCTCTTTTCTTCAATCCCCTCTAGATGCTAATATCCTCTGTTGAAGACGCATTGACCAAGATAGCCATATTCTTAGAGAAAACACAAGCGTGCATCCAAGTGCATTATTTATAGAGCATATAGTTTTTTAAAAAATCCAACTGGACAAAGTCATCAACCTTTTCAAAATCCACATTGACAATATTGTTAATTTTTGACAAGATCAACCAGCTCACTCACAACTACCACACCATCAACCAAGAGTCAATCTTTTGAAAAGGCTATTTGATTTTGTGAACTACTAACTCATAGTTGCATATTTTACTCTAATACACCATTTAAAGCTTGATATGAATGATACGTAGAAGAGGTAGTTAGATTGAGCTTGGAATGCAAGTGGAGGAACTTTGTTGTGGAAACATACTTAGTAAGCATACCAATCCACTTATCAGTGTCAAGGATGTGTTTCAGTGTGAGTTGTTTGGCCAAAAGTCTCTCTAACAAATAAGAAAAAATCTTCACAGGTTTTCTCCTTGCATGTAAAATAGAATTATGGGTAAATAAAATAGTTAATTAGTTATCACAATAAATCACAAGTAAAAAATGGGGATTTTCTCTCTAGATCTCTTGGGATGCTCCCCTACCACGGTGAAAAGCCAAAATTGTTCTTACTGTTCAGAGATGCATCTCTTGACGCACATTTTTTACACAACCTTCAAATGGATGAACCACCCTTGTTTTTCAAAAATTTAATCTGGAGATGTATCTTTGTATAACATAAAGGTGATTCTGAAGATGCATCTCCGTAAACACCCTTAATTCAAAATCCAGGGAGTTTTGTGGGAATACAACTCTGTACACATTTTATTCAGTAACATGTGTCAGGCCCTTCCTTTTTTCTGCTTCATTTTTTGAAAAATTCACTCAAAAAACTCCATTTTAGCTTTTTTGTTGCAAACCATTTCCAAATCTTATTTAAGCAAGTTTCATCAAGCTTTATTCACTTCATTCTACTTCATTTGATGCATTTCACTCCATTCTTGCTCTTTATCCACAACTCTAATTTGATAAGTATCTCATTTCATTCTTTTTTTTTCTTTTGTGTTTTAAATGATGTTTTAGGTAACATTGGTTGTTTAAGCTGCATTAAATAGTAATACAATTGAAATAGGGAGTTGATATAGACATACATTGCCATTAGGTTGGATGCTTGTGCATGGATGCATTTTGGTTATATTTTGATTTGACTTTCTGGTTTTATTACATGTGCAATGGCTAAAAACAACTCTGACATAATTAAGAGATTGGGCCCTTCAGAGTGTATCTTAGTTACAATGTAACATATGGCATTTCCTTCTGCCCATACGGAGGTCACAGCCAGACGCGTCAACTGGACCTCATTTCGTTATAGTTCAGATGACTTGCATGTGGGTTAGGTCTGATGTATTTGTATCCTCCCGAGCAAGTGATGCACTAGTTTGCGTATTTGTAGATTATTCTGAGACACCTCTCAGAGTCCGCTTCTCCCACCATCTGCCGTAAATATCTTAATGCAATACTTGAAGATTTCGATAGTTATTTGGTACTAGAGGAGTATCGTAGGGTGCTAGCTCTTGTACATTGGGCCTATGCACACGGCTACATGACATGGCTTTATAGGGTGTCACACCTTATCATGACACTAGACGCTTGAAGATCACCTAAGTCGTCTAATCATGAGGTACTTGAGGCTAGGGATGACCACACCCAGAACGTAAGCAGCATCTGTCGACGTAATGTGGATATGGCGAGATCGGCATAGAGGTAGGACTTCTTGAGGAAGGCACACCCCAATTGACCATCGTAGAAGAATTATTGTCGATGCATATGATGCCTTGCAGTAAAGACTAAGAAGTCGATGGGTTAGACATACTTAGTAGTTTATGTTTGGTTGTATTCTTTTTTGTATTTTCAGAACAAGTTATCTATGGTCGGTACATTTTAATTTTACTTTAACTATTGTGTGACTTTTTTAATGTATGTATAGCATGTTTCAATCAATTAATGTATGAGTTTTTTAATTTATGACCTAAAATATATGTTGACCTCAAAAAATGTCAATGTGACACTGTTGCCGTCTTGAAAGCATTCAGGAGGCATTACTGAGATTCATCTTCAGACCATATTTTAGCAAAATTGAATGTGTGGCAGAATTTAAAAAATTGATGTGATTTAAAGTGTGTTTGAAAATATATCTCTGAATACAGAAATAACATTTTTATATTTTCAAAAATATGAGAAGCGCTCCACAGGACGGTGAAAAAAGCATTTTTAAAATAAAAAAAGAAACAATAGATCTTATAAAAGAGTTTGAACCCAAAGAATAATAGGTGTGGCTTGTGTTAGGATCATGTACTCAACCTCACTCTTATACCTAGCAACAACGAGTATGGAACAAATATTTGATGTGAAAAATAGGCAAAATACTTTTTTTTCCCCTTAACTATATTCTTGAATTCAAATTGGCCCCTTAATTTTTTTCGTATTAGATTGGTCCATTAATTCTTAAAACATGTCATGTTAGTCCTTTTGGTATTGTAGCGACCGATTTAGCGACGAGTTTTTGAATTTTTCTATTGTTAATTGGACAAAAATGACTAACATGACACATTTTAAGAGTTAAGAGATCAATCTAACACGAAAAAAATTAAGGAATTAATCTAAACTCAGATGTATAGTTAAGAGATAAAAAAAAGTTTTGCCTAAAAAAATACGAGTCAATTATTGATTATTAAATAATATTTATTAAAATACATAAAGCAAAATTTTCATTGATGAATGTATAAAAGTATGGATATAATTTTGTCTTTTGATAAATATAACATAAAATACTTAAGAAAATTATAACTATTATAATTATTATGTATAGTTAATTAAAAATATATCTTCTTTTATTTATAAAATAAGTATTTGATTAGGTAGACAATAAAAGCTGAAAACGGGTAGACAAAAAATTAAAACTAAGTTTACTATACATCCTGTCAATAATTTGTAATTAAATATTTTTATTCATGTCTCTAATGTTTTAAATAAAAAAGTGAACAAGAATAATCAATAATTTTAAGCTTTACTTTCTCCTGCAAAAGTTATTATTCACTTTACAAAACAAGTGACTTTGGATCCATTATGTTGGCTATGTGCCAAACAAGTCCCAACTTTACAGCTTATACTTTTATATGACTAATCAAACTATAAACATTTCTACCCGCACCCCCCAAAAAAGAAAAGAGAAAAGAACTTAAATTATGTATAAATTAAAATATATCAAAATATTTATCTACCAAAATTAATATACACACAAAAAAAAAATCATATTACTAGTACATATCTAAATCTTCAAAGTTCAAAAACTAATGTCATATGAAAATTTATGGTTATACATAAAATTACAACAAGGTGTAGAAAACGATATTTAAAGCTATGGTTTTTGCTTCTGTGTATAGATATAATCTGTATGAGCTACAAGTGTTCTTCTCATCAAACAATCATCTTCATTAATACCTTCACAATTTTCTTCTATGTTGACCTTTTCATCTTCCAAAACCTTCAATTATGACGTTCAAGATAAGAAGATTATCAATTAAAAAATAGAATTAGATTCAATAAATTGAGTATAATATGATATGAATGAAAGTAAGTTACCTGATATGGAGTATTGGTTGAGATGATAGGGGAAGAAACATGGCCAAGTTTTGTTGCATAAGTGAAAGTTAACAAGAGGAAGAAGAACACTATCAAGCAAAGAGAAGAAGTAACTTTAGACATGTAATTATTTGTTTTCTTGAATTGCCTATTGCTTTGGAATGCAGCAAGAATATGGCTATGTGATATGTTTATATAGATATTTAGTGTCTTGTTGGGGACTACTTAACTTTTAGATTCTCATTATTTGGGGTTATTTAGGAAGGTGGTTAATGGTCATCTATCTCTTTTAAAAAAAAAAATTACTGAGAGTCTTATTCTTTCAGTTTCACAATAAATAATTCAGTTAATTATTTTATATATATTAAAAAAATAATAAATAAAAAAGAGGATAATATTTTTATTAAAGTATTTTTATTATGTATTAAAAATAATAAAAATAATATTATTAAAAAAATAAGATTGAAAAAATATATTAAAAATTAAAATGAGTAATTTATTTTAAAAAACTCTTTTAATTTAAATCAATAATTTATTATGAGACGAAGGGAGTACCATTTATGTCATATGCTTCCTAAGATCTTCTAAATCTTTGTGTAGCAAACTCAACATGTATGATGTATGAGCAATAGGTGGAAAGACTAGTTGATTTGGAATATTAAATAAAGGAAACACTCCCTGTGTCTAAAAAAAAAAGGATTTTTAGGAATGTTTTAAAAACTGAGTTAGAGGTTGAACCGGTAAACTTCCGTTTTAAAATTTAATTGTTTCAACAAGTTAAATCTATAATCAAACTGTTTGTTAAATAAATTAATAATATAGAATTAAATTTTATAGATGTTTCACACATAATTAAATATTCACGACAATTTAATAAAATAAAATTTTCAAAAATCTATTACAAATTTAATAGTACATATATAATAATACAACATGTTGGAATTCAACTACAATCTATGAAGAAATTCACTCAATATTGATCTCAAGGTTGTTATCAATCACACAATGACAACGAAAAAGGTTAAGAAAGAAAGAAAATAATGTTGGAGAAGAAGAAGAATATTTTCTGCAGAGTTTCTCTCTGCCCACAAACTGTGGAAAAACTACTTTATTCACTTGCAACTGCAAATTATGTAAATACAATATTATGAGTTGTTACAAAATAAGGGTTACTCCCAATTTATATATTTAGGTTAACTTGCACCCTAAGTCAAAGCTCAAAACTATAAAAGCGCATAATAGTTAACATTACTAAAATAGGTCTAAGTCAAAATCTTGTGTGAAGTAACCTGCTTCGACACTTCAATACACTGAACAACTCAATACACACACACACACACACACACACACGCACATACACACATATTAGGCTCATTCAACTATTCTTTGTTTCTGTCGAGCTACACTGCTTCTACACAAGGAATTACAAACTCAACACACCACCTAATTCATTATGTCTAAACTATCTATATTCATCATAGACCTTAACTTCTTGAATACTTCAACTTGCACCCCTTTCGTCATGATTGTTCCAAATTTATCTTCTCTTCTGCTACCTGCTCATAAAGATAATGGAATGTCATTTCGATGTGCTTGCTTCGACCATGTGCTGTCAGATTCTTCTCCAGGTTGATAGTTGACATGTTGTAGATCTTCATGGTAAATGCTCTATGACTCTTCGTTGTAATCTCTTCGAACAGGTTCACCATCCATATTACTTGACATTCACAAAGAGAAGCAACTATGTATTCTACTTCGCATGACGACAATGCCATCACTCGCTCCTTTTTTGAACTTCAAGCAACTGGTGCACCACCTAGCGTAAACACATAGTCAGCTATGGATTTTCTATCCTCAGCATCACTACACCAACTTGAATCAGTGACCTCACTATCTTGCATTCTTTTACTTCATCAGCTACAGGAAACAAAATGCCATAGTCGGGAGTTCCTTTCAGATACCTCAGTATCCTCTTCGTCGCTACTAGGTGTGATACCTTTGGCTTCTGCACGAATCTACTTACCATACCCACATTGTATGCTAAGTCAGACCTTGTGTGACAAAGATATCAAAGTGACCCAATAAGTCTTCTATATTGGGTTGGGTCGACATCATCTTCATCTGAATCTTTCGACAATTGTAATCTGGTCTCAGCTGGAGTCGAAGTTGGGTTGCAATCTTGCATCTCAAATCTCATGAGTATTCACCTGTATATCTTCTTTAGCGCATCATCAAACGTCTAACACTCTTGTAGAATTCGAGGCCAAGGAAATATGAGAGATTTACCAAGTCTGACATTTCAAACTCCTCACTTAGTCATGTTTGAAATCCTCGAACTCCTTCTTGCAACTTCCTATTATCAACAAGTCATCGACATATAGACATAGTATAAGCAATTTATTATCTCTTCTCCTTACATATACTTCATTCTTAGTTGTGCACTTCACAAATTCCTTCTCCCTTAGAAAGATGTCGATCTTCTTATTCCATGATCTTGGAGCTTGCTTAAGTTCATACAGGCCTTTATGCAGCCTGTACACCTTTCTTTCTTCACCTTGTTTCACAAACCCAACTGGTTATGCAACATAAACTTCTTTGTCTAAGGGGTCATTAAGGAAGGCACACTTCACATCCATCTGACATGTGTGCCAATTTTTCATGTTTGCTAGACCAACAACAAACCCGGTTGTTTCAATCCTAGCAACGGATGAAAAAACTTCGTCTAAGTCGATTCCTTCCTTCTGAAGGTATCCTTTTTCCGCAAGTCTTGCCTTGTGTCGAGTTACTTCTCCTTTAGGATTCACCTTCACCTTGTAAACCCATTTTACATCAATTACCTTCTTACCTTGAGGCAATTCGATAGGTGACCAGGTGTTGTTAACATCGATGGACTCTAACTCCTCATTCATTACTTTCACCAACTTCAAATCATTCAATACCTCAACTGCATTAACTGGTTTGACATCTGCGTAGAAAGCATAGTGTATTAGGACACCTTCTTCATCGACCACATCATCCGATATAATCACACATTCTTACAACCTTATAGGAATGTGTCTTGTTCGTTGAGGTCTACTTGTGCCTGCTTCACCTATGACTTCTTCTTGTCGAAATTATCTTTCAAATTCACTACTTAGTTCTTCACATAAGATTCTCACTGAATCATTCTTGACATTCTCAGTCCAATCTCATTCCTTAAGCTCATCTATGATCATGTCTCTGTTGATCACAACTTTCTTGTTCACTGGGTCGAACAACTTATATCCTCTAGTCGAATGATATCCTATTAGGATCATTTGACTCGACTTATCATTAAGCTTTCTTCTCAACTGATCTGGCGCGTGTCTATGTGCTATAGATCCAAACACCTTCAAATGACTTAGGCTAGGCTTGACATCAGACTAACATTCTTCTGGGGTGATTCCTTCTACCTTCTTCGTCGAACATCTATTCAAGATGTATGTTACAATCGACATAGCTTCTCCCCATAATCCTTTGGGTAGATGCTTGCCTTTCAACATATTTCTCACCATATTCATGATGGTTCTATTATACTTTTCTGCAGTTCCATTCTGTTGTGGAGTGTAGGGTGGCACTACCTCATGCACAATCTCTTCTTTCTCACATAATGCATCAAAATATTTCGACACATACTCTCCACCATCATTAATCTTCAGAGTCTTTATCTTTTAACCACTTTGTCTTTCGACCATAGATTTAAATTTGGAAAATACATCGATCACTTCACTTTTCTTCTTGATCAGGTAAGTCCACAGTTTGCGACTAAAATCATATATAAACGTGATAAAGTATTTGTTACCTCCAAATAAATTCACCTGGATAGGACCACATACATCAGAGTATATGACTTCAAGAATTGCGTTCGACTCGCTTCCTGCATTCTTGTTAAAACTATTCTTGTGTTGTTTCGCTTGAACACATCCTTCACATATTCTGCTTGGAATGTCGATTTCTGGTAATCCTAAAATCATATTTCTTCTCTTCAAATCTCTGATGTCTTTGAATTTGAAATGACGTTAGAATAGTTTAGTTTGGAGTGTTTTCTCGTATCCACAGGGATTGTACGAGAATATTTGATGCCTGCCGTTCAATATTTTAGTGATTTAAGTAGAGGGATTTTCAAATGATTTCTAGTTGGTAACATAAGTTTGCAAGAAATAAAACAAGTTAAAAGTTGGTTTATGTTTGATAAAAAGCATGCCAAGATTAGGGTTCACCAATTGTTTTTAAATGTATCCAATTAATCGAATATTTGAACTTAGTTTCAACTAATATAATCGTGTATCCTTGCAAAAGCGTTCATCTCTAAAGTGATCTCGTGAATATTATTTTTTTGACCGTTAAATAATCTCTCTAAATAACACCCGAAACATAATCATAAAGATCAATACAATGTGAATATCAACTTCCAAATCTATCTCTAGATTTTGTTAGTTGATAGATGAAGAAATTAGGTCAAGACTTGAAAAATTTATGTCTAAAGTAATCCAAACCATAAATACAATAAAATATAGCAAATAACTTCATCTATATTGATCAAAGTTTGTTCCCATAAAAAAAAAATTAAAAGGAATACATAAAATCAGAATTAGCCACCTCTAATCTTGATACAAAAAGGGTTTAGCCGCCCATTTTCATGGTAGCTTGAACAACAAGTTTTAGAAGAAGTTTGATCAACATCTGAGTCGAATAATCGAGATTGGATAGGAATCCACCTTCTTTTTGTGAAAGATGGCTAAGAGATGATGAAAATGGGAAAACTAGGGTTTTCTTGCTGAAAAATGTAAAGTTGTGAAAAGGTAAAAAGATATTTTTTTCTAAAAAGTGGCATCAAGTACTTATAGACATGTTGATGTACTGTCACCTTAGCACTGCAAAGCTCCTGTTCGCATAGCGAACATACAAATGTGGCACTTAAAGTTCCAGTACACAGTTAAACTGCCCTGAGACATTTCCACATATTCGTTGTGCGAACAATCATTTGCACTGCGAAGCCTTCGCCAGAAACTTCGCACAGCGAATTCTTATCAAAATACTTACTGCCTCAAGTCTGGGGCCATTCGCTAGCACTTCGCTATACCTTCGCTCTAACGAACCATTCA